CCACATCGCAGTAGAATTTACGTTTGGTCTATTTCCGTAACGACGAAAACAAAGAACCATCCCTCAAATGCGCAAACGTGCAGAGCTCCATAAAGGAAGCTTCTCAAAATACCAACGTATCAATTTCGCGAAAGAAAATTGCGCAACACGAAGATGCTTTATCCAGCCGAAATGCGGAAGGACGTAGACAATGGAACACCATGAAAGGCAGCAGGGCCTCGCCTTCCCGAAATCGATCCAGTGGTGACGTAGCGCCACGTGGAAGCGTTCGACACGATTCCCCCATGCACGGATGCGCAATTACCATCCATCGAAACGACGCCATTGAGCTCGAACGAAGGGAGTCCATTCGATACATCGACCATTGCTCGGTCCACAATTATCCCCAGACGTCCACTTGTCCCTTTCGATTCGACCTTCCGCAGGCCGAATCAAAGGAGACGAAAACACGGGGAACATCTTGATACGTCGACCCCGAAAGAACCATGGATGCCATAGAACCCTGCCCCATTGACTCCGTTCATCGAAGGACACTTGTCTGGCCCACATTCAGTGCCCTTTCAGCCACGTGACCTCCATTCAGTAACTGGAAAAGGGCGTGCTCGTAGGTCTTTACGCACACCTGCAACCAACCCCGACTTTCCCATCCCCGAGGTTTCACGGAACCCGGAAAAAAAGCCTGTCCTTTGAATCACCCTTCGCCGTGAGTTTGCTCGTTGACAGCCATGGAAAAGCGGCGGATCGCATCTCGAGGGTTGCTCCGAGCTCTGCACAGGGGTTGCAAGTGACTAATGTACAAACATCTCTGGATCCCCCTTTTTTATCCTGCTTCAAATGCTTGTATCGTTCTCGCGGTTTACGCCTGCCGCCTCGATGAATTGTTTATGGGAAACCACGGTAGAGTCCCGACGTGTTTATATCATTGCCTTTGGATTTGTTGCTAAGTTTCTCTACTGTTTTCGATGGCGTTTTAACCTGGTTTTATTTGTGCCAACTTCAACTCCAGTTACCCCTAGTTGCAAACTACTTTGAGACTATAGACACTTTTATAGACGGACGTCTAGTTAGCTTCGTGCCGACTGGGAGGCGTCTTTTATATTTCATTGAGGATTGATTTTCATGAATACTTGATGCAAAATAAATTCATTAAATCTACCAAATATTATAAAGTTCAAATCCTTGGATACCTTCACGAAAGTACAAAGATCTTACAGATCAGGTTGACTTCAATTTCTCAGTCACCTACACAGGTCATGAATCAGAGTCCCATTAATTTTGGTCAAGATTAAAAATATCCAATTTTTGCGTCCACCATTTTGATTGTTAAGGAGTTGGGATCAGAAACTTAAGCTGTTTACCTTAGACAACAAATTAAATATATAAGACCTTAAATTAAGATCACCTTTGAATTGTTACAAATTCCTACAGTATGTAAACGATCCCACAAGGGGATGAAAAGTTTTAAAGTTGAAGATCGTCCAAGGTAGAAGAAGCCGAATTTGGGTTAAGGGGTTATATTCACGATTATCGAACGGCTTTAATTATTTCGGCAGTTTGTATCCCACCCCCGTATCCGCGGAAAATATAGCGTGAAAGAGAGCCAAAACACGACGATGCTTCGCAGTTACTCGACTCGCAAGGCCGTGTATTTTTAACTTGAGAACCTTCCGGCAACCCTGGCCGGGATCAATACCACCGGCAACCCCGTCGTAGTGTAGTACTACTGGAGGCAGAAAGGGTGCAGCGGGGTTAACCTACATATCCAGCTACGAGCACCTCGCCGCTCGCCAAGCGAACGAAAACATTTTTCTTTCGAGTTGATATCCGTAGAAAATGAGAGAAGTTTCGTAGCCCGACCCGCGCCGTTTCTCCTCTCTAATAATATTTATACGCATTGCGGAGATATTATCTTGCCGGGAGAAACACGTAGCCAACATTCGGGGGAAAAAGATTACTGCAAAACGCGAGACCGCGCACGTAAATGGAAACAAATAGCGTCCAGGGCATTATGTCACTGACTTACATAAATCGTGCCGGATAATTTACGCGATGTAAAGCCTTTGCGTAAAACTTAAATTGTGACGTCAATGTCAACCGTGCAATCGTAGCTACTCCCACGGTCTGCTGTCTCGTTTCGCCAGGCGGGATTGATGACTAAATAAAGAGCTGGCTATGAATACTTTTCTTGCTTTTGAGAATAATCTATTGACTAAGTTTTATCGGATCGAATACAATAAATCAAACTACTGACAATAAAGGTACAGGAATCGAAATACAAGGGTTATTGGTATCTTTGTTCGTCTGTATAAATTATGACGGTAGATATATTAGAATTATGTTTGCTCAAACGTGTACTTGTCAATTGCCACTCTATCTTCTATAGTATCATTTAATTGCACAAACCTTAGAACACTATGTTTTAAGCCTTGAAGCTCTATAACTTGTTACGTCTCGAAGAAGCAGAAAATCTGTGGAACAAAAATTTGTATTAGCCTGTCCCGAGCAGCGAAAAACCTCGTTCCAAAAATTCAACCATCAGCGGCTATTTATTTCGCAATAAAGCGTCCACGGACGAGGGACACGTATATATATATTTTTTCTGTGAAACCGCGAAGCAGGGGGTGCGAACAAGCCACGGAGCAGCCACAAAGGCAGCCAACAGTCGCGTAATTAAAAAATACCCGTGGCCTCGTGTTGTCTGTCACGATGTTTGGAAGGGGTGAGACAGGGGAACAAGGGACAGAAGGGCCTCGTATCCCGTTGCAAAATGGCTGCTGGTTCTGTGGTGGACTGCTCGGAAGCTCGTTGTCTCCATCCCACGGTCTTTTCTTGGAAGATTGTGGCGGAAGACGAAAAAAAAGAAGAAATAGCGTCACGATGGAATTGAGTTCCGAGAGACGGACTCTCGAAGGACATAGTCGAGAGGCTTGATGGTCGTCTTGGAATCTCCTCGAAGAGAACGGTGTTCGAAATACGGGGTGTGGGGGATGAAAAAAGAAAGGGGGTATAAAGGAAAAGCAAGCGGAGTTAAAGGGCGAGAAAGAAAGAGAAACACGGGGTGGAGGATTGGAGAAGAAAGAGCAAAGAAAAGCCTTTCCCTCTCGATGTCGTTCGAGCCCGGAGACCAACTTCCGCAATTGCTAGGAGAGAAACCACTGTGGAAGATGGCCACTCTGAACCGCTAAGGGGCCAATCCTTTTTATTGACGTTCGTTTCACGGTAATCGCGCGAGAACTTGAATATTCGTCCACCCACACTTTTTTCGAATTGGAAGAGTTTCACTTTCCCTCGGTTTTCGGCCAACTTTTATACGAGGGTACAAACGAGAAGTCTGTCGCGGGACACCGTTCGGTATTTTTCTTGGATTTGGATACGCGGGTTCGTTGCGAAACTTGGAACTAACGATGCACGGTGGACTTTGATGAGATGGCTGATCGTCTAGACGGAACTCGTTACACTTCAACAACGTTCGCGTTATTATTTTTGGCACGAATTTACGTTTGCAAATAGTTCTCGAACTCGGAGGAACTTTCTGCATTTGTGCGATTACTTGCTCGCTTCTAACGGATTTCCCTGTTTGAGGGAAACTTGTATCTATCGATTTAGCTGCGGTCAGGCTCCGTTCGAGAAACTTCAATTGAATTAATTCGATTAATTAACGAACATTGCGTGAAAATACACCTTGTGCAGTGTTCTATTCGTGGCAATCGGTCAGAGGGAAAATTTTGTTTGTCTTCAAACGGATATCAGAATAATAAATGAGCGAAAATATCTTCACCCCTGGGTTAGATCAAATATAACGAACGTGTCTTTGCCAAAGATAAAATTCTATATTTTCTATGAACTTTGTTGTAAGAATAAACACGACCATCTAGTATGTATTTTGAGAGCACTAGTTTCGTAGAAAATATTTCGTGCAGATTATAATGTACCTGACAAAAATATCCGCGACCTAATGTGACCTAACAACCTAATTATAATTTGACTCGAAATCACGCCACGTTCTAACGAGACTTTTATTTCCGAAATACATGGGCTATTGCTCAAGGATTATCACGAATTAATCATGAGCTATCTGTACCATAAACAACGATAGTATATGGTCTCTCATGCTTCGGATTAATGTCCCGCTATTCGTGTCGAGTGAACTTTGAAACACTCGACAAACGTCGACGAAACATAATTTCGCTAGAACCTCATCGCCGATAAAACGCTTTAATCTCGTCCAGAAAATCCACAATTAAAATTCGCGTCCCGAATTACAGATCGGATAAAACGGGAAAGATTTTGATAAGAGCTTCTTTGTCGAGAGCGGAGGAAAGTCGAGAAAGGCGTTATTATACCGCGCGAAAACGGGCAAGACCGATTGCCTCTGGTTCCACACCTTGAGGGGGTTGAAACCGAAAGACGGCAGTCTCGAGTAACCGGAAGCGGCGTTCCGTTTCAATGCGCAGCCGATAACGCGGTAAAAGCGAATACCTTTCGAAGATACTCGCCCCGGAGCGTACTCTCTTTTAATGTGATTTTGCACTCGATGCCAAAAACCCTCCAACGAACAATGATAACGTTCCCCTTTGTGCGTGACTCGCGAATTTTTATCTGAAACGTTCTACGGAAGTTCTTTCGTGAGCCGGTAATCGAGCCAATCGGGCTTCTTCGTTTATTTAAAACTTTCGAAATTTCAAACTTCCCATCGCGCTACGGTCTTATCCTAGCCTGGTTCTATCCCTAACCCGAAGTAACAAAAAAACTTGACGATGCTAACGAGAAATATCTCGTACGACGTTACAGATTCATCGATCGGCGGGGAGGTTTAAAGAACAGGCAGCACCGTAGCCAAAGGTCGAAGCCACTGTCGACCCTGGTGTCGTCCAGTGGCCAATCGTCGAGTAGCAGCCACGCGTTGGCAGCAAGACGGCCGATCGTGCGAACGTGCTGAGCGATATTCCGCGGCTGCCTCGTCCAGCAACAGCCCGAAGATTCTCCCAGCAAAGGCCAAGATGCACATCGAGGTGCAGGTGGCGCTCAACTTCGTGATATCGTACCTTTACAACAAACTGCCCCGTAGACGGGTGAACATCTTCGGCGAGGAGCTGGAGAAAGCGCTGAAGGACAAGTTCAAGGGTCACTGGTACCCTGAGAAGCCGTTCAAGGGATCCGCGTTCAGATGCCTAAAGACCGGCGACCCGGTGGATCCCGTGCTGGAACGAGCCGCGAAAGAAAGCGGCGTACCGATCCAAGACATCCTGGAGAACCTTCCGGCGGAACTGGCCGTCTGGGTCGACCCCGGTGAGGTGAGCTATCGCATCGGCGAAATGAACGCGGTGAAGATCCTCTACTCCGAAACGGGGGACCCTCACGACGACAGCTCTGCCGACCGCGAGGTGACCAAGACCTTCAACCCCGAGGCTCAGTGCTTCAGGCCCATCGAGGCCGTGGGCACGTCCCTGGGCGGGCTCAGCCTCAGTCCCAAGTCCACGTCGCCGTTCCCTAGCTCGCTGGGCAGCAACGCGAGCAACGGGTCGTCCAACAACCAGCAGAACGGCCACGGGTCCGGTTCCTCGTCGGCACCTTCGCCGACACCCATCACCAGCTCGTTCAAGGGTTCGCCTAGTCCTGTGCCAGCTTTCATCCCACGCACCACCGCACCGCTCACCTTCACCACCGCTACCTTCGCCCAGACCAAGTTTGGCAGCACCAAACTGAAAACCAGCAGCAAACGGGCAAACAGGTTAGTAATCATTCGTTTCTACTTTATATTCCTCTCGGAGGTCCAAGAACATTCGATTTGTCCGACTTCCCGTGTATTGTCGCGACACACACAAGCGAGTGATATCGACCGCAAGAGCCGAAGCAAGTCATTAAACAAGTAATCGAACCGTGCGTAATCGCGTTGCTTTCAGAATGTCTCCCACCGAGTTCTCGAACTACATCAAGCAGCGCGCCATGCAGCAACAGATCCACCATCACCACCATCATCAGCAGCACCAACAGCAGCAGCAGCAGCAACAACAACAACAGCAGCAGCAGCAGCAACAGCAGGCAGCTGCCGGTGGCTTACCAGTGTCTCAGAGATCTCCTCGCAGCCGCAGTCTGTCTCCTGGAAGCATAGTCGCCGGCGCTGGCCAGCAACACACGGATCCGAGCGCGTACTTCTTCCAGCACGGTCCGACCGCGTATCACCCGCAGTTCCCTCATCGCAACATCTTCGACTCGTCCAGCCACGGTGGTTATCTGTCCGGTGATCTGTACACGGGCGCCAATTTCCCGTCGTCCTACCTCGATCCCACGACGATCGCTGGCCACCAGTTCTACGGGGGCAGCGTGAACGGAACTAGCAACGCCGCAGGAAGCAACGGCAACTCTCAGACCGCCGGCAACCTCGGTCCAGTCGGTTCCACCGCTGCGAACAGCAACGTGAACGGCATCGGTCAGCAACAGGACAAGACCGCGTTGGTCGAGGGTCTGAATAACTTCGGCCTCGGTTCTGTGGCACCGTATCCTGCTAGCCAGTACCAGCACCTCCTCGTAGCCAACTAACACCCCAAACGAGTGGAAACCGAGTGACTGACGCGGCTC